ATATATATATATATAAATTACCAGTTGCGGGTTTAGTTTAAATTTATTGTCTTCTGTTGTCCTTTATTAAAATGATATATATTTCTTAAAATCTTTCTGCCCCGCAATAATAACATTTTTTAATCAATGTTATTCTATGGACGAACTGACTTTAAACTGAAATGAAGCGACCTCTACGAGGTGTAAAAGAGAACTAGCATAAGCTTAATCGATATTTCAGTGACGAAAAGTTACAATCGCGCTAAAAGTTTTCAGTTTCTATCAATAAATATATAAACATATACTTTCATATTTTCAAATATTAATAAGAATTGTTTATTTGTTTAAAGAAAATTTAATTAAATTTTTGATTTTTCTTTTCTTTTCCAATTATGTTTACGATATTACAAAATGTCAAAATTTAAATAAAAACACTTTATTGTACAAATTGGTTTCGTGTTTCCTATTTTTGTACTAACATTGTTCGACGAAAAGGTAAATTTTTTATCCTCGCGTGGAACGAACCTGTCTACGTCTGACTTTCTTCGAGACTGTTTTTTTTTTTACGAGATTAATTTAAGACAACTTAACATTTGATGAAAGTCGTTCAAACATATCAGTTGCGAGATACTCGCCATTACGCTTGGAACGAGCGAGCTTCAAAAAGCGAGGGGTAGTCTCGTAGCTGAGTCGGGAGCAGGCTGACTACTCTCATTGGTCTATCGGATGGTTTACGATTTGCTATCAACCATCTGGTTCTCAGTAGCAACCCCTGAAGAAATAGGCGTCATTGGTCCTTGTATCGTAACTTCACCCCAACTTGTGCCTTAATAAGAACTTTTATAGTGGCTACCGACCAATATCTACCCTCGACAAAAGTGCGTTTCCAGATACGTGGCTTCGTTAGTAATCTATATATAAAAAATATATCTATGTATATATAATTTTACATAAAAAAATCTTTCATTTATCATATTACATATTTATATATTTTTTAAAAATAAAATATGGGAGTCGTTATTTTATTAACAGATACACGTGTTAGAGAGCCATGTCCGTTATTAATATTCTTTGTTAATATAAATATTTATCATATTTCCAGTGACAAAATTTTGTGATATATTAATGCGACTTTATGAAAATGATCATAGCATATTTACTATAATTTACCGTTTCATATATAGAAATAAAATTTGTACAAATGATACATCGAGAAGCTTAACTAAACACAAAGTCACCAAGGAACTTCTTTCTAATAAGCTGATAATTAATTTGAGAATATAACGAGAAACTAACAACGTCGTAGAAATTAACCCTCTGCACTCGAAAGGTGAGCTTCAGTCACCATTTCATAAAATTTGGAAGATCGATATTAATTAATATATCAAATTTATTGCAATGTGATAGTGTGTGCGGTATCGAAATCAAATAATTCTACAATTCTATTATTATACAATTCTTTATTTACTACTCAAAAAAGTATCGTCAGTTTTTTAGTAGAGAATCTTTGAATTTCTACTCTTCTCTAGCCAAAAGTCATCGAGTGCAATGGGTTAAATACGAATTAAATAAAAATGAGCTTCTATTCGCGTCAGGACTATTTTATTCGTTCACGTGGGATAAAATCCCATATCGAGAACGAATTGTTGCGCGTGCGTTACGTGATACCGCATTCTGATTGTCGATTTATAATTTTACTATCGCAATGATAGGCCGGTGTTTACAGGCCTTCTCGGGGGACTAGAATTTATCGATGACTCGTTGAGGGCCTCGCGATACGTTTTACGATACCACTTGGAGGATTTTTATCTAGCCACCAGGCAGCTTTTACCATTTGAAAAACGCACCGTTTGCTGTTTTTCCTTTATCGTCCAATAAACTCAGCCGTATTGCAAATTCCAGGCTATGCAAAAAGTCGTTCCTCCATTATCCGTCCCAGACCAAGAGTAGTAAATGATATTCGTCTTGGTAATCCATTTGCGAGATAGTGTGTTTAGCAAGGGTAGATGCGTGCATGAACTTACTATTTTAATCGTCTCGTCGGTTATTATATGTACTGCTATTGTAATATTATTGTTTCATACGTATCATAATTTTGTGCTTTATTTATTCGAAGATGAGTGGAAGGTAAATGAGAAGAAATGTTGAATTCGTAAATTATCTTTCATACGTATATCTTCGAATAAATGAAGTTTAATTCATCCTTTTAATTCATTTGCATCGTTATATACAAGCACAATTTTTGTAATCGTTGTCACCAGAATGTTTATTGCGGGCGGATTTATATTGCAAGTAATTGGTGGTAAACACAAACAGATTAATTTTTTAATTCTTTTCCCTTTTGTTGCAAAGATTGGATTCTTACGATAAACATTTATGATGCACTTTGAAATATTTTGAAATTATAATTTAATTTAATAAGAAAAATTTGATGACAATGGGATGTTTTTCATTAATTCTTATATGGTACACATGGGTTAAACCAAGTTTGTCTAGTTTAATCTGTGTGAAACAAGATACAATTCGGATTTAGTTTATCTTAAAAAAGTAAAGTGTTACTTCAAATGTACCAGAAATTATGAAAGTGATCTGAGTCAAAGATCTGAAAGAAATGGTTCTATTATTTATTTTCTGCTGCATTCATTTATATTGCAATAAAAAATATTTCTCTTCATAAAATAGTAAAGTCTAGTCCCTAGCTTCGTCGTAATTAATTGTTTAATTTATCATGTGTCTAATTAATGCGAGAAAAAATTCGTGTATCTTGCAATCCAAGCAAACGCAGATCTTTTCCTCTTTAAAAATTGAAAAAATTACGTAATAATAATAGTTTACATTTAAGTCATCGTACCTGGAAATAATATTCCATTCGTGGTCGAATTTTTAGATTTATAGTTTTATCTTCCATCTATTCAAGATGTTATTACTTTCTCAGCACTGTTTTCAGCTTACTCATCTCATTGAATTGCAAATAAATTAATAAACACACGTGGTCCCATTTTTAATGGCTGACATGGAGGTAAAAGGTATTTTGCGTCACATCAGTCGGCCACGTTATCCCGAGCACACCCTTCGCGATAGTTTCACCCTCTTCTTCGTTACCGCCCCTTCTATTCCCAATGTGAGCGTTTCACGAGGGTTATATCAAAAGCCAGAGGGTGTTACCATGGCTACACGAGCAGCCATGTTGGTCCAGGGGCGTGAGAGATGGAGAGCCGGGTGAAAAATTCGATAATTCCAGGCTGCTCCGAAATGGCGTGATACGATACTTGTTTTCCCACGAACTTTCGAACAAATGCGACTTAATTTAAAACAAGAAAAAATATGCTATGTTATTTTCCATGTTTTAATCCGCACTAGAATAAATATCTTGTGTAACAGAAGTTTAATCCATATTACAGGAACATAAGAAAGAACGCGAAATCACTGTGCAAAATTAATATTTAACACGATAACTAATGAAAAGAGAATTACCAAAACTGTCAAAATGGCAGGTTCCTGATTTTTTGGTTTGCGAATTAGTGGAAATATATGGGTGCTTTTGACGGAATTGCTAGTGAATTTTACTGAACTACAATTGGGCGCACTTAGGTATTTTTATCATCTAATTTGAATTATAATCTTGTATGTATGTTTTGTTTCGACATATCCACAGGTCGGTAATTCTAGTGTTAAATATAAACCTGGTTACTGCAAAATATATGCTACTATTTTTCACTTCACTTTCCATATAAATTTCTATATAAATTACATGTATATATATAAGATCGCAATTATTACCAATTTATTATTTTCAAAAATATCTAACGAAAGAATATATCGTATATCGTTGATTACGACACTTTGCTAATTATGTTATGTATACATTTGTTTTATATTTAAGAATCAATATTGTCTCTTTATTAATATTTTCATATAAAACCTTGCAACGACAGTGATCAAATGAACATAACATTGTTGTCGTTGGTGATCTTAAAATGGCATTGTTGTCTTGAAATGACGTTTGCCTTGATGATCTTGGTTGTTAGTTACTAGCTACGAGTAAGTACCAATTAGCCTTCAGTTCTGAGTTCTATGTTCTGAATTTTGAGTACTAAGTTCTACATTCTAACATAATTCTTTTTTGTTCACAGAGAAACGTCACTTCTTAAACTCTGATACACGTTGGGAATTGGATTTCAATAATCACTCACGATGAATGCACCAGAAAGCAGGAAAAAAGGAATATTTGAGCCAATGTTACGCAACACACGTCTAACTCGACCACAGAATCGAGAGGAACTGGTACCGAGGAGAATCGTAGCCGAAAACGAAGCTAGAAAAATGGTAAAAAAGGTAATAAAACAGGGCAGAGACGAGGCCGTGGCTAAAAGTTTCAGATATAATACAGAGATGCACGTCTTTAAAGTACAGGTAGAGCATCGCGACGTGGAATTCCTTCAGCGAAAGGATTTGGATGAATGGACCGTCGGAGTTATGTTTTTATTGCACCTATGTATATGACGGTTGCCATGAAAAATTTCGAAGAAAAGAAGAGCAGACACAGCTGCAACTGAACATCTTCAAACGTGTAAAATATCTGGAAAATGTTTTGCTTGAAACTCGAAGGAAATTCAAGAAGTCTGCCGATCTTCCAATCCCGAAAATCCTAAATAATTCAATAAATTTATTTACAAATTTATAATTCATGATCATATTTTAAATATTAAATTCTAACTTGACACAAATCTTTTTCAGGAACAAGATTGATAAAAGCTACAATTTTACTACACAATCGGGGACGATTTTGGAAAAGGGATACAGAAGCTAAAATGGCGAATCGAGTAAATCACAGAAGTTCCAGAAGCAGTTTCAGTTATAATGGAGATCAAGCTTGTATAAACGTAAGTAAGAGTAAACAAGAAGCTTCCCATTTATTTTAATTGTCGAAATATCAAGTCTAAATTTTTAATGAATATTTTCAGACATGTGGTGTTTAATTAATTAACTCATTTGCATCATTAGTATATCATACGTACGTGGATTCACATTGCGAAAGGATAGCGTTAGTCACAAAGAAGTAAATTCTTAATTCTTTTGCCTGTTATTACAGAGCATGAATTCTCACGACGAAGTATTCGTAATTCGTAATTAAAACTGGTAATTAGAACTCCGAAATATTCGTAAATCTAATTTAATAAAAAGAA